CTCGCCCACCGGTTCGGTACTGAGGGTTTGGAGGGCTGGTTTGGGGGGCGCTGCCCGGCCCAAACCCCGCAGCACTCCAAATCCTACATTACCTACAGCAACCCCAATCCCGCAGCACCCCAATCCCATGACCCCCAGCACCTCAAATCCTGCAGCGTCCATAGCAACCCTAATCCCGCCGCACTCCAGTCACATCATTCCCAGCATCCCAAATCATGCAGCATCCCAACCCTCCCAAGCCCACCAACCCCAGCATCCCAAATCCTGCATCACTCCCGTCCCCATGATCACACAGCACCCCAAATGCTGCATCTTCCATACCACCCCAAATCCCAAAGTACTCCTATCGCATCCACCCAGCACCCCAAATCCCAGTACCCCAATTCCATCACCCCCTAGCACTCCAAATCCCACAGCATCCCTGTCCCTGTGATCCCACAGCACCCCAAATCCTGCATCATCCATAGGACCCCAAATCCCACAGCATCCCCAATCCCTACACTCCCAGCACCCAAACTCCCAGCAACTCCTGAAGCACCCCATCTCCATAATCCACAGCACCCCAAATCCTGCTGCAGCCACATCCCCCTGATCCCACTGCACCCCAAATCCCCCAGCACCCCATTCACCTCAAATCCTCCAGACCCAAAGTCACCCAGCACCCTGATCTTCAGCACCCCCATCCCAGCACCCTCCATCCCCCCGAATCAGATGACTCAGGCCACCTAAGGATTTTTTTCATAGAAAAACATAGATTTTGGTCAAAAAAGTACATTTTCTCCTCTCACCCCTAAAGCCTTCCCACAGAGGGGGCTCAAGTCAGAGGTGCCACTCACCTTCTGGGGTGACACCAGCTGCTATTTGGTCCCGGCGCCAGAGCCCCTTGACCAGGGTGTCAAGGATGGGGGTGACCCGTGGCAGCGCCCTGCGGCTCCCCCCGGCCCCCCCGGCCCCCGGCACGCTGCCTGCACGCAGCACCTGCAGCCCCCACAGCCCCTCAAAGGCTGTCACATCCCTCTCTGTCACAGCCATGTGTGGGGACAGGTCAGATCTGGGTTGGGGGGACACAGGGTCAAGGGAAACAGCAACACTGTGGAAAATCCCCCCAAACGCTCCAAAATCAGTGGGAGTTGTGAAGCCATTGGTGTAATGAAGTGTTGCATGTTCTCTGCCTCATGAGATACGAAGTGGTGTGAAATCTGGGGATGTAAATGTGCTTGTGCAGGGGACACATGGGCAAGGGAGACATCAACACCCCAAAAAATCCACCCCAAGTCCCAAGTCCCAAAATAAGCAGGAGCTGTGAACACATTGCTGTAATGAAGTGTGCATATCAAGTGGTGTGAAGTCTGGGGGTGCAAACCCACTTCATGGGTGATGTGTACCCCCAAGGACTCCCTCAGAAGGATACTTGGTGCCAACCACCACCCTAACAAGGCTGTCCTCGCCAGGGCCCAGCACTCGGCTCATCTGTGCTGGCAGCTCCTCAAAGGATGAGCGATCCGTGAAGGAGAAGAGGAAGAGGACAGCATCTGCCTCCGCCTTACAAGCCTTGTTGGGGGACAACCATCATCAAATGGGGTCCTCTGTGTGTGTGTGTGTGTGTGTGTGTGTGTGTGTGTGTGTGTGTGTGTCCCAAGTTTCTGTGCCTTGACTCACAGGCAGCAGATGCTCGAATTTTCTCAGCGCTCCATCCCCGCAGTCCCAGAACTGGAGCTGGAAGATGACGGGGCGGCTGCTGTCCCATGGCTTGGCTGGCCAGTACACTGTGGTGACTTCAATCCCTGGGGATACACAGAGAGATGGTCACCCCCCAGGGGACACCGGGGGGGTGTGTTCCTTCATCTGTGACTTACCGAGGGTCTCGTGATGGCCGGGGGACACGGGGGTCCCTGCCAGAGAGGCCACCAGGGATGTCTTCCCAACGCCACTCTTCCCTGACAGGAACAGTTTGTAGGTGGCAATGGGGGCGGCCAAGGTGGGGGGCAGCGCTGGGTGCTCCAGCAGACCTGGAAAGGGGGTGTCAGAGGTGTTCTGCGGGGCTGACACCCTGTTTGGAGGAGGGAAGCAGGTGGGGTCTCACCGAACACTTTCCGCTGGTTCTTGTGGAAGATGGAGTC